CTACAGAACTCACAGAATCACGGAACTCACAGATTCACAGAATTCACAGAACTCACAGAATCCACAGAACTCACAGAATTCACAGAATTCACAGCTTCACAGAATCCACAGATTCACAGAATCACAAAATTCACAGAATCCACAGAATACACAGAATTCACAGAATCCACGGAATCACAGATTCACAGAATCCCAGAATTCACAAAATTCACAGAATCCCAGAATTCACAGAATCCACAGAATCCGAGAATTCAGAGAATTCACAGAATCCACAGAATCACAAAATCCACAGAATCCACAGAATCCCAGAATTCCCTCAAATTCTCAGATAAACTTTATCACCTTTCTGTGAAAAACTTTTTCCCAATATCCAGCCCGTATTTCCCTTGCAGGGCTGGGGCTGGAGCAGCCATGGAGCCCCTGGATGAATTTTGGGATCATGGACGGGTTTTGAGCTTGGGAGGGGTTTAAATCCCAGCCCCAGCAGGGATGGGACACCTCCCAGTGTCCCAGGCTGCTCCAGCCTGGCCTTGGGCCCTCCCAGGGATGGGGAATCCATGGAATAACCTGTGCCAGGCCCTCACAGGGAAGGATTTCTTCCCGATATCCAACCTGAATTTCCCCACTGAGGAGCTCCCTGAGGAACTGAGGTCTGACCTCCTCGTTGTGGTGCAGCTGGAATGGCCCAGCAGAGCCAATTATCCATTTTTAATCCATTTTTAATCCATTCTCCACCCATTCCAGAGCTGAGATGTGACTTCTCCCCCCTCTCTGGCCACACCACCCACAGCCTGGATTCCAGGATCAGCACCCTGAACTCCCCCGGGCCATTCCCAGGTCACAGCTCCTGGGGCCACATTCCAGCCTTCTCCTGACAGGGCCACCCCCTGGGAGCCCTCTGGACAGACAGACAGACACACAGACAGACAGCTGGGAAGTGTCTGTCCTGCAGAGCCCGGCCCCTGCAGATCCCAGGGCACGGGGTCAGGCTTCAGAGCTCTCAGGAAAAAAAAACAATTCTCTGCTGGAAAATGGAGCGAAAGGCAGGGGCTGTGTGTGGAGAGCAGGATTTGGAGCTGGGCCCTTCTCTTATCACCGCAGATGTGGTGGCCACAGGGTCCCCAGGGTCCCCAAAGCAGCAGCTCCAGCCCCCTCTGCTGCTTCCTTTCACCCGCTGCCTGCTCCGGGATGGATTCCAGAGCTTCTCCAAAGGGTTCCCACGCCTGCAGGGGCTGGAATGTCCAAAATCCTCCCCCCTGGGGATGGAGCAAGGCTGTCAGCACACTGCTGCTGCTGCACAGGCCGTGGAAACACCAGAGCCCAGTGCTCCCAGTGCTCCCAGTGCCCCGGGATGCTCCCGTGGGATGCTCCTGAGGAAGAGGAGGAGGAGGAGGGATAATCCACAGGCTGCAGCAGCAGGAATGTCCCTCACCCTCTTAAAACCCCTTTTCCCTTTTGGGTTCATCCTTTCCTCAGGTTGGAAAAGCCCAGCCTGAGGGACAAAACCTCCATGGAAAAGGGGGATCTGGGCTGGAGGGAATCCCGAGGGATCCCCACCGAGCCTGGAACCCCAAACCCACAGGCAGGGACACTGCTGGGGCATCCTGGCAGCTCCAGGCCCTTCCAGAGGCTGGAAAAGGCTCCCTGGGGCACAGAAAGGACAAGTGCAGGGTCTGAGCAGGGCTGGGAGAAACGGAAGAACAATTCCAGCTGGGATTTCTGCGGATTGCCTCAGTGCCTGGGAACTGGGGCCTGGCCAGCAGCGCTGAGCTCGGGGCTTCCATGAGCCACAGCAGCACCGAGGGGATCAGCTGGAGGCAGGAGAAGCTTTGGGATGCAGAGTTTAAAGGGAATTTGGCAGGAATGCTCAGTCTGAAGCAGAGCAAACCCCTCCCAAACCTCCCAGCGGATTTTATCCATCGCTTCCAAGTGGAAGAATCCTGTTGTGTCCAAAGCGATTTGGACACGAAACCCTGACAGGTTCCTGGTGCTGCATCCCGAAAAAAGCTTCATCCCACTCCAGCAGCAGGGAATTCCAGCTCCTTCCCCCTTCCCTGAGCAAATCCTGGGGAAGCAGAGCAGGAACATGGGTCTGCCTGTCCAAGGCAGGAAAAAGAAGGCAGCAGGCTTGGGATGAGTCCTGGATTAAAGCAGCTCGGGATTAAAAAATAGCCCTGCACCAAAAACAGTATCTCTGGAGCCAAAAATACACCAGTCCTGGACCCAAAAACCAGCCCTGGACCCAAAAATATCAGCCCTGGACCCAAAAAAACCAACCCTGGACCCCAAAACCAGCCCTGGACCTCAAATAAACAGCCCTGGACCCAAAAATATCAGCCCTGGACCCAAATAAACAGCCCTGGACCCAAAAACCAGCCCTGGACCCAAAAAAAAACCAGCCCTGGACCCCAAAATATCAGCCCTGGACCCAAAAACCAGCCCTGGACCTCAAATAAACAGCCCTGGACCCAAAAAAAAACAGTCCTGGACCCAAAAATATTAGCCCTGGACCCAAAAAAACCAGCTCTGGACCCAAATAAACAGCGCTGGACCCAAAAACCAGCCTTGGACCCAAAAAACCAGCCCTGGACCCAAACCCAGCCCAGCCCCCAGTGTTTTCCTGAGTGAGTGGGTGGGAAAATCCATCCTTTGATGTTCCACTGAGCGGCTCCAAAACAAAGCTGGGCCACGGGAGATAAAAGCAGCAAACAAACCTCGCCACGGGACACATCCGGGAGATGGAGTGGGAAAGAATTCCATTTCCATGGAGGGCACGGCTGCACCAGCGCCGTGGAAAAGCCACAGCACAGCTGCTTTCCACTCCCAGCAGAGCAGCAGAGCCCAAAATCCAGCATGCTGGGGGAAAAACGTCCTGAAAAAGCTGCTCTGGGCAAGGCAGGTGCCTCCCAAATATTCCCTCTGTGTCCCTTGGAGAGCTCTGGCACTGCCTGAATTCCCTGGAATTGAGGCACCGTGGTGCCTTCCTGATGATCTCCTCACATCCCTGGAAAATTGCCTAAATTCCCTGGAGCAGGCAGCAGTGGCACCTCCTCAAAATTCCTCTTGCATCCCTTGAAACTGCCCAAATTCCCTGGAATTGAGGTACCGGTGGTGCCTCCCCAATAGCCCACTCACACCCCTGGAGATTCTCCAAATTCCATGGAAGAGGAACCAGTGGGGCTCCCCAATTCTCCCCTCACAACCCTGGAAACTGCTGAAATTCCCTGGAAAAGGCACCAGCAGTGCCTCCCCAGTTTTCCCCTCAGAGCTCTGGCATTGCCCAAATTCCCTGGAATTGAGGCACCAAGGATAATTCTGGTAATCCCCTCACACCCCTGGAAAGTGCCCAAATTCCCTGAAAAAGGCACCAGTGGGGCTCCCCAATACTCCCCTCACATCCCTGGAAATTCCCCAAATTCCCTGGAACTGAGGCACCAGTGATAATCCTGATAATCCTCTCACATCCCTGGAAATTGCCCAAATTCCCTGGAGCAGGCAGCGGTGGCACCTCCCCAAAATTCCTCCTGCATCCCTTGAAATTCCCCGAATTCCCTGGAATTGAGGCACCAATGGTAACCCTGATTTTCCCCTCACACCCCTGGAAAGTGCCCAAACTCCCTGGAGCAGCAGCAGTGGCACCTCCCGAGCCCTGGCATTGCCCAGATTCCTGGGAAGAGGCCGGGAAGTGCCCGGAGCTGCTGGCAGGGTCCCAAGGGGAGGCTGCTCTGGATCCCAGGGAGGCATAGCTGGAATTCCAGGCTGGCAGGGCAGGATCCGTGCCAGGACAGGGCATGGGAACACAGCTGGGCAGGGGGAGCTGGGCAGGGACTGGGCAGGGACTGGTCAGAGACTGGGCAGGGACTGGACAGGGACTGGGCAGGGACTGGGCAGGGACTGGTCAGAGACTGGGCAGGGACTGGTCAGGGACTGGGCAGGGCTACTGGGCAAAGAGTGACCAGTCCAGGACTACTGGACAGAGAGAAACTGGTCAGTCCAGGGCTACTGGGCAGAGACTGACCAGTCCAGGGATGCTGGGCAGAGAGAAACTGGTCAGAGACTGGGCAGGGACTGGTCAGGGACTGGGCAGGGCTACTGGGCAAAGAGTGACCAGTCCAGGACTACTGGACAGAGAGAAACTGGTCAGAGACTGGGCAGGGACTGGGCAGAGACTGGGCAGGGACTGGTCAGGTCAGGGCTACTGGACAGAGAAACTGGTCAGGGCTACTGGGCAAAGAGTGACCAGTCCAGAGCTACTGGACAGAGAGAAACTGGTCAGTCCAGGGCTACTGGGCAAAAACTGGTCAGGGCTACTGGGCAGAGAGTGACCAGTCCAGGGCTACTGGGCAGGGAGAAACTGATCTGGGCTACTGGTCAGGGCTCCTGGGCAGGAGGAATGGGCTGGCAGCCTCGGGAGCTGATCCTGCAGGAAGTGCTGCAGGATGTCCCAGCCTCCCACTCCAGATTAAAATTCCACAGGAATTTGCTCAACAAATGGAGCCTCTCAGCTCCTGCCACCAGCCTGGGGGTGTTTCAAATTTCTGTCACAGGGAGGGAGGGAGGGAGGGAAGGGACCCCAGGGCTTGGGGGGGACAGGGATGGTGCCTTCCTGATAATCTCCTCACATCCCTGGAAATTGCCCAGGGATGGGACAGGGCAGGGATCCTAAATCATCACCTGCCCACCACCCACTAACCCCAAAATCAGTGCCACCACCACCTAAACACACACAAACCAGCACGACACCCCTCAACCACCATCCCTGCCCATCCAGGGGCTGGGAACCCCCCAAAAACTCCACAAAAAAACCCCAAAAAATCCCCACAAAAACCCCAAAAAAATCCACAAACTCCTCACCTTCCACGCAGTGCTCCACCTCCTCCAGGCTGCGCAGCGTGACGCGCACCAGGCTGGAGTTGAACTGCCCATTCAGGGGCTGGTAACCCCATAAAAACCCCCAAAAAACCCCAAAAAAACCCCAAAAAACCCCACCAAGTCCTCACCTTCCACGCAGTGCTCCACCTCCTCCAGGTTGCGCAGCGTGATGCGCATCAGGCTGGAGTTGAGCATGAGCTCGTTGCGGTGCGCCGGCCACAGCGCCTGCGGCGCGGGGTTGACGAAGAAGATGCGCGTGTCCCCCGTGGCCACCTGGTTGTCACAGATCAGCGGGTCCCCGAAGCCCCCGATCACCACCTTGTTGCCCCCGTCCAGCAGGATCTCGTGGGTGACGATGTCCTTGCCCTTCAGGTAGCGCCAGACCCGCACCTGCCACGGGGAGGGGAGAGGTTGTTGTGGTTTTGGGGATCTTGTTTTTGCTCTCTGGGTTCCTCTTTCCCCTCCCTGGGCTCCTCTTTTCCCTCCCTGGACTCTCATTTTCCCTTCCTGACCAGTTCTTTCCCCTCCCTGGGCTCCTTTTTTCCCTCCCTGGACTCTCATTTTCCCTTCCTGACCAGTTCTTTCCCCTCCCTGGGCTCCTCTTTCCTCTTCTGGGCTCCCATTTTCCCTTCTGATCTCCTCTTTTCCATCTCTGGGCTCCAATTTTCTCTCCCTGGACTCCTCTTTTCCCTCCTTGGGCTCCTCTTTCCCTTCCTGATCTGTTCTTTCCCCTCCCTGGGCTCCTCTGTTCCCTTTTTTTCCCTCCCCATAAAAACCCCATAAAAACCCCACAAAAACCCAAAAAAACCAAAAATAAAAAACCCCAAAAAACCCCCACAAATCCTCACCTTCCACGCAGTGCTCCACTTCCTCCAGGCCGCGCAGCGTGATGCATACCAGGCTGGAGCTGAACTGCCTGTTCAGGGGCTGTGAACCCCACAAAAACTCCAAAAAAACCTCCAGAAAAACCCCAAAAAAAACCCCAAACCCCCCAGAACAGCAGTTCTTTCCCCTCCCTGGGCTCCTTTTTTTCCCTCCTGGACTCCCATTTTCCCTTCCTGCCCAGTTCTTTCCCCTCCCTGGGCTCCTGGTGGCCCAGGCAGACAGATTTTATCCCCCTGCAAAAGCAACCATTCCCAGTTTTCTGCCTGTCCCCCCCAGGACCCGAGGGGCTGTTCAGACACAGAAACTTCTCCCCCGTGCCAAATCCCCCCCTGAGCACCCCCAGCCCAGATCTGAGGCTGCAGAGTTCAAACCAGGGGGTGAAACCTCGCTGGGGGCCCCGGGGAACGCAAATCCCGTGATCCCTGATCAATCCCAGGAATTCATTTCTTTTTTTTTTTTTTGCAGCCTGAACTCCAGAATTTCAGCCCCCGATCAAAAAGGCTTCAAAGTTCACACCGAGCTTGAGTCAAACTCCTCCAGAGCGTCCCTGGCAGGGCGGGGAGGACGGGAATGGGGTCATTCCCACATTCCCCGCGGCCACAGGAGCCGCAAGCCTCCTGCTCCGCGCCAGCCTCACCTGCCAAGCAGGAAAGGGGAATAAATTCAGCGCTGCCTGTGCCCTGCAGGCACAAATCAAGGTTAAGAACCGAGTTTAGGAGTTTATCTCTCCCTCTCATCCTCCTGTTTTGCTCACACTTTGTCCTGCTGGTGGAATATTCGGAGCAGGACGCCGGGCTTGGGGGGTCTGAGCTCCCGGGCAGCGCAGCCGTGCAAAAAAAGCAATAAATTACCCCAATTAGCGCGGCAAAAACTGCAGCCTCCCCTGCCCCGCTGCATGCCTGAGCTGCAGGAGCAGCGCAGGTGCAAACAGGGCTGTGACAGCTCCTCTGGAGCCGCACATGCCTCGGCTGCTCCCAGGCGTGGAGAGCTCAGCCACGTGTTCCCACACGGGTTTGTGCTCCAGCAGGAAAGGTGGGGGTCCCCCGGGGGGGGCTGAGCCACCCCAAAGCTCCAAAATTGGAAAAAAAATTGGGAAAATATAGGATTATTAAAAATAGAATTATAGAAGTAGAATTTTAAAAGAGAATTATAAAAAATAGAAATATAAAAATAGAATTATAAAAAGTAGAATATAAAATAGAATTATAAAAAAATAGAATTATAAAAAATGGACATATAAAAATAGAATTATTAAACATATAATTATAAGAATATAAATATAAAAATAGAATTATAAAAAGCAGAATTATTAAAAATAGAAATATAAAAGTATATTTTTACAAAAATAAAAATAAATGGGAAAATTCCTACGTGGGATGTGTCCCTCCCTGCACAGCCCAGATCTGGGCTGATGGGCAGGGACAGGGACAAAGTTTTGCTCCTCCTGCAAAGCCACTGAGGGGTTGCTGCGAGGTCTCCACGGGATTTTCTCTCCTCTTTGGTCCTTCAGCACAAACCCAGCTCCCAGCAGGGTGAAAGGAGTGGTTAAACCCCAAATCCCAGCAGAGAGGGCAAAAATCCCCCTGAAATTTGCTGGTGTTTAAGTCAAAAAAACCCCACTCTGACTCATCCTCCTCCTCATCCTCCCTCGGAGCGAGGAAGGAGCAGGACCAGCACTTTCCGTGGATATTCGGGAATGAGAGGGGCCTGGGAGGCTCCAGCTCCCCCAGCAGGGACAGCTCTGATTGCTGCTGGCAGGGACAGCACCTGAAGGAACACTGGAGCTGTGCCAGGAGAGGTTCGGGATGGAGAGATTCGGGATGGAGAGATTTGGGTGGGATGGAGAAGTTTGGGATGCAAAGGTTTAGGATGGAGAGATTTGGGTGGGATGGAGAAGTTTGGGATGCAAAGGTTTAGGATGGAGAGATTTGGGTGGGATGGAGAAGTTTGGGATGGAGAAATTCGGGATGGAGAGGCTCAGGTGGGATGGAGAGGTCTGAGATGGAGAGGTCTGGGATGGAGAGGTTTGGTGGGATGGAGAGATTCAGGATGGAGAGATTTGGGTGGGATGGAGAAATTTGTGATGGAGAAGTTTGGGATGCAAAGGTTTAGGATGGAGAGATTTGGGATGGAGAGATTTGGGATGGAGAAGTTTGGGATGCAAAGATTTAGGATGAAGAGGTCTGGGATGCAAAGGTTCAGTACGGAGAGGTTCGGGATGGAGAGATTTAGGGTGGAGAAGTTCGGGATGGACACCAGGACATTTCCTTCCCCCAGAGGGTGCTGGGCATTAGAACTTCCCCGCTTGCTCCCAGGCCTGCCCAGCTGGGATTTTTGCACTGATAAAAGTCAAACTCTGCTCCTTGCAGGTCCCCCCCGACCCCAGAAACATTCCAGAACTCCCTGAAAGAGCCGGGAAAATCCTCCCTGCCCCCAGAGGAACCGCGGCACCCCCAGCAGCACGGGCCAGCCCAGGTGAGCCGGGACAAGGTGTGCAGGGCACAGCCCGGCTCTCAGCAAGCCCTGCCGCCTCCCCAGCAGCCCAGGTGAGTCTGTGGAAGGTGTGCAGGGCACAGCAGGCTCTCAGCAAGCCCTGCCGCCTCCCCAGCAGCCCAGGTGAGTGTGGGCAAGGTGTGCAGGGCACAGCAGGCTCTCAGCAAGCCCTGCCGCCTCCCCAGCCGCCCAGGTGAGTCTCAGGAAGGTGTGCAGGGCACAGCAGGCTCTCAGCAAGCCCTGCCGCCTCCCCAGCCGCTCCTCCTGCCTCCTGCCCGGCCCTGAGCTGCTCTCTCCCCGCAGTCAAGTCCGGACACCTCCCCGCAGCCGCGCCTCCCGCAGCCCCAGGGCAGGCTCCGGAGGAGGTGAGCAGCAAACCAGGGCAAAAACCCAGCCAGACAAAGGAGGAAAAATAAGAAAAAACCACCCCTCCTCCAGCAGCAGAAAACACAGCCCGAGGCTGGCTCCGAAAGGGGCATTTTCACAGCTCGGGGTTTGGTTTTTTGGGTTTTTTTTTGGTTTTTTTTTTTTTTTTTGAGTGGGGAAAAGCTGAATTCTTCCCCCAGCTCTGCAGCAGATGGGAATTGGTGTTAATTGGCGTGGCTGGGGCGCTCAGGCAGGCCACAGAAACATCAGAGTCCAGCGGTCTCCTCCCCACCCTAATGAATGGATGTGCGAGGCACCAAAGCCCCGGCAATTACCTGCGGGCATCCCATTCATCAGCGCGGCGCAATTAAGACTTTGTCACCGCTGACTCACCGGCGGCAGCGAGGATCGGGGGAGAAAAGGAAGGGAGACAGAGAAAAAATGGGGCTGGGACCTGTTTGGAGGAGGACCCTGCCCTGGAGCGCTCTGTTTTTCCAGGGAGAAGAGAAAACGCTGGATTTAAAGGGGGTTTTAAAGCTCCGCGGAGGCGCAGGAGGAGCAGCCACAACTTTATCCGGGCACGGGTGTGTTTTAAAGGCAGGGGGAAAACTGAAAATCCCAGAAATAAAAGGATTTTCCGACATGCCAGCGGGGTGCATGCCATGATAGGGAAGGGGACCACCTGTACAGGAACATTCCTGCCAGGAAAACGCCGCCAGGTTTTGTAAAGCCAGGTGAGAAGATGGAGCAAAGTCCCCTCTGGAGGAGCTGTCACTCGGGATGGGCAGCACCGAAAGGGGTCACCGGGAAATTTTGGGAGATGAGAGCCGGGATCAGCTCTGCTTCCACAGAATTTTGGGAGATAAAAGCCAGGATCAGCTCTGCTTCCACGAAATTTTGGGAATTTTGGGAGATAAAAGCCAGGATCAGCTCTGCTTCCACGAAATTTTGGGAATTTTGGGAGATAAAAGCCAGGATCAGCTCTGCTTCCAACCCTTCCCCCTCCCCTTTTTTGTCTCTCTGTCTTTTCCCTGTCCCTTCCCCAGGACCCAGCAATTCCCACAAAACCCCCCTCAAAACCTGGGCTCCATTGTCCAGAACAGGATCCACATCCTTTTCCACGCTTCCTACGGCACTCACAGAACCTGGATTTATCCTATAAATAGCAGCTGCCTTCCCAACCATCGGGACAGCCCAGAAAAAGGCACTTCAGGGGGCCAGAGCAGGAAGGGACAATGCCAACAGCAGCAGCAGCTTTGGGCAGAAGTCAGAAACTGCACTCAGGAATGCCAAATCCCTTGGAAAAAGGGCACAGCAGGCACTTTTTGGGAATTCTGTCAGGCTGTTCCTCCTCCCCCCCAGCTCCCCTGGCAGCACAGGCACGGCTGGCAGCTATTTCGGGGTGTTTATCTAACATTAACTTCACATTTCTCCCGGTGCTTATCTGTGTCTATCGGAGCGCTCAGCTGGGAGGGTTTGGAGCCGGGCTGGGAAGAACAATGCCCCAGCACGGAATTCACAGATCCCCACGTGCCCGCTGCCTCCCGGACCACCCAGCTCCAGGAATACTCGGGATTTTGGGTGTGGGAACTCCCCACACGCGCTGGGCCCTCGCCTTTCCTCTGCAGATAAGGAAGAGGCTGACAGGAGATAACGGCGGGGTCTGGGGAGCAGCGAGGGCACGACAGGAGGAATTGGGGCAGGAATTTCCTCAGCACAAGATCCTGGATTTCTCCCAGCTCCCCCGGGGGCAGCGCAAGGACAGCAGGAGGCAGGGGTCAGGTTTAATCCCGAGCTGCTACTGGAATTTAGGTTAAAAAACAAAACAAAACAAAACAAAATAAACTGCAGGCACGGCAAATCCACGCGATTCCAATCCCAAGACTTGGGAAGATCTGAGGAGGGCAATGAGCCAAGAGCCTGCTGCAAAGCTGCACATCCTCAAGTCATTGCAGTGACAGGAGATTTATCCACTCCCAGCTCCTTGGGACACCCCAAATCCCATTCCAAAGCTGTTTTTCCCTGCAATGACACCACGGAATGCCACGAAAAGTGACACAGGACGGGCTGAAGGGCAGGAAAAGGGACAGGGAACCGCTGTCCTGTGAAAATTCCTGAATGTCACAGCACTGTCACAACGGGATGGGATGGGATGGGATGGGATGGGATGGGATGGGATGAAAGCTTTCCTGCTTTCACTTTTACACGACTCCAAGGCTGGAATGATCTCTCAGGAATCTGTCCTGGCCCTTCTGTGCTCTTTGGAGACCAGGAGCAAAATCCCAAACTCCAGAGCAAGCAGCACAAACCTCCCCCGGGCACTGCTCAGGGAAAGGCAGGGAAGAGATTCCCTTCCCAGTGTAAGGAATTCAGATTGTGCTTCACAGAGAGCCACCACGGGCAGCCCCATCCCACTCCTGCTGCTCCAGCTGGGGCTGCATTGCACCTTGCAAAGGCAGAGCTGCTTTTCCCCCATCCCATCTTTTCCTTATCCCAGCTTTTCCCCTATCCCATTTTTTCCTTATCCTAGCTATTCACACCCCAGCTATTCACATCCCAGCTTTTCCCATCCCAGCTTTTCCTTATCCCAGCTTTTCCTTATCCCAGCTTTCCCCCCATCCCAGCTTTCCCTGCCCCAGAGTCCTGCCCTGCTGCTGCAGGATGATTTTCTGCCAGGCAGACACCTCGCTGTGAGTCCGCAGCGGGAGAAAAAGGATTTATCTTCCACCCTGGCATTTCTGCCTCGCCACCAGCGCCACTGGGCCACCTCCTGTGGCCACCTCGCGCCGGCCTCAGGTGGCCACATCCATCTGTGCCCCACGGGCACAGCTCATTAATGCTCGGCGGAGCACCCAGGATGTGCCAGACACTCTGCAAACAGACGGTGCCGGGGGGGCTGCGAGCTCCTCGGGAGCTGCAGATGGGTCGGGGGGCGCTGGGAGCGGGCACCGGGCACCAGCTGGGCGGGCAGGGGCTGGGGGATGCTCGGGGGATGCTCCAGAGCTCCGCGGGAAAGTTCACCTTCCTCTCCGCCACCAAAGCATCGCCCCCGGCCCCGCTCGGCACCAAGCAGAAGCAGGATTTTTTAGGAGGAAAAGGGGAACGGGGGGAAGAGGAAAAGGCAAGGGAAGAGCGTGTCCTTGCAAGCGAGATTCCTGCCCCGGCAAGGGTTAAGGCATCCGGCACGTTTTCTGTCAAGCTGGCGGATGGGATTTCAGGTTGCTCGGGACTTCAGCGTCTCTCCGCTTCGGGGGGAGATAAAAAAACCCCAGAGCCCGAGGCCAGGTTGGTGGTTAAACAATAGCTCGGGCTGCAGGAACTCGAGATGCTGCTAAAGTCAACAGCAGAGGCTCCCAGCACCTCCCGGAAAGTTGGGAGGCAGCTCCGCATCACGCCAAAGCCAAAGAGGGAAATGCCCATAAAAAGCAACCTCTGGAGATCCCCCCCACACCCCCCCCAGGCCACACAGCAGCTGGAACCTCTCACACACCTTAAAAAAAAAAAAAAAAAAAAAAACCCGATTCCACCCCAAACCGCACGGGGCGAAAGTTCCCCCGCGCGGTTTTACCTTGCACGAATAGGTGTGGTGCACCGGGTCCACGTTCATGATCTCCTCCACCGTGCCCGTCAGCACCACGTTGGCCTCCTCCTCCCTGCGCTCCAGCTCCCGCTCGGGGCAGCTGGCCAGTGCCAGCGCCAGCAGTGCCATCGCTCCCAGCGCCCGCCGTGTCCCCATGGTGGCGGCGGCGGTGGCGGCCCGGCGGCGGTGCCGGTGACCCCGGCAGACAAAGCGGCCCCGCTCGCAGGCAGCGCTGGCGCAGCCGAAAGGGCCACTTTTGTTCCAGGAGGTGAAAAGGAGGAAAGAAAGAGAGGAGGGAGGGAGCGAGGGAGGCAGCGAGGGGAGGGGAGGAGGAGGAAAATCCCAGGAGGAGGAGGAGGAGGAGGAGATCTGGAGGAGCGCTCGGCGCTCGCCGCCGTGGCCCTGGAAGAAAGCGCGCAGATTTGCATGCAATCTGAATTGCTGATAAGGAGGGAGCGGGGGTTAGGGGGGAGAGGAGGGAGGGAGGGAGGGAGAAAGGAAGGGAGGAAGGCAGCGCGGCCGCCCGCCCGCCCTGCTGGCAGCGCTCGGTGCGAACGCCGCCCCCAGGAAAGGGAGCCTCGGTTAATGGATAATCAGCGCCGCAACGTGAGGAGACTTTTAAAGGTGTAGGGACCGCAGCCGGCCCCGCCACCCCCTCACCGTGAGTGGCAGCTGTCCCCAGCTCTGTGGCGGGGTGTCCATCGCTCCGTCCCGCACCCCCGAGATGCCCAAAGTGGGGGTTTGTGCCTCCCTGTCACCCCCACTCGGAGTGGCAGCTGTCCCCAGCTCTGTTTTGGGCTGTCCTCTCCCCATCCCGCACCCCCGAGATGCCCAAAGTGGGGGTTTGTCCCTCCTTGTCACCCCCACTTGGAGTGGCAGCTGTCCCCAGCTCTGTTCTGGATTGTCCTCACTCCATCCCACACCCCCGAGATGCCCAAAGTGGGGGTTTGTGCCTCCCTGTCACCCCCACTCGGAGTGGCAGCTGTCCCCAGCTCTGTGGCGGGGTGTCCCTGGCTCTGTCCCGCACTCCCGAGGTGCCCAAAGTGGGGGTTTGTCCCTCCCTGTCACCCCCACTCTGAGTGGCAGCTGTCCCCAGCTCTGTTTTGGGCTGTCCTCTCTCCATCCTGCACACCCGAGGTGCTCAAAGAGGGGTGGCACCCCGGCATTTCCCTCCCTGTCACCCCCAATTCCACCCCAAGGATGCTCCTGGGTTCTCCCCACTGGGGAAACTGAGGCAGGGCCGGTCCTGCTCCGCTGGCACCCCACAGGTCACAGGGGTGACCCGCACTGGGGACATCGCTGTCACCGCGCTGTGCCCCAGCCGTGACAGAGCCACCCGTGGAACGGTGGAATGGTTGGAAAAGAACTTTAAAATCAGCTCATCCCACCCCTTTCCCCATGCCAGGCTGCTCCAAGCCCCCGTGACCTCGTGGCCCGGCTCCCCGGGGGCTGCAGGGTGATTTCCCCACATGTCCCCAGCAATTAGTGCAGATAGAAAATGAAAAGTTAAGTGGCACCAGGGGAGGGATGTTATTTGTGCCCTCCATAAATCAGCCGGCCCCCAGAGGCATTTATTTTATGAGGCTGTTTCACTTGATGGCCCTAAAAAAATCCCCTAGTTCCACTTGATGGCCCTAAAAAAAAAAACATCTGGTGTGACCCAGCCAGCTCCTGATCCCAGGGTGAAGTTTAACCACCTGCCAGCCCAGGATGTGACACGTGAGGTGTCCCCATGTCCTCCTGTGATGAACAAGTTCCAACCACAGCAGCATCCTGCCCTGTGTGCCCTGAATTCCCGAAATTCTCAAATAATTCCTCCCCTAAATCCCTGTGCTGTTTGCCCCTGTGGGTGTCACACTCATTTTCCACCCTTTCTCTAATTTATTTAATATAAAGAAATAAATTAATCTGCTGAGTGTTCTAAAGTTTGTCCCTGGAGAGGATGGAGCACCAGAGATCCCATAAATCTGCCTGGAAATATCCCAAATCCTGTGGGGTTTGCAGGGAAAGCACCTTGGACATTTTCTATCTTAGCCCAGGCTAAGTGTAACCCCACGGCTTCTCTCTGTTCTCTTTCCACTCAAAACTTCCATTTCTTCCCTGGAAATCTGAATTTTCCAGCTCAGCACCAAGGGAAGGTGCTGATCCAAAGCAGGCAGGGTTTCATCACCTCAGGGATAAAATCTTTATCAAAAAAGGGCTTCAGGGAAATGATTTTCCCCCCCAAAAAAAGTGTCCCAGAGCCCGCTCAGGCCTGCAGGAAACCTCTCAGGAAATAATTTCCAAACCCGCCAGACTTCCCTACACTGTAAAACCCAAAAAAGTTGGAGGATGAAGTGACCTGAAGAAAATTCTCATTTTCTCACCAAAAACTTCCCCAAAAACCTGGATTTTGGCTGAGGGGACACTGGGCATCCTCCACCCCTCAAAGCCCCACAGGCCTCACATCCCAGAGCTCTTTCCACTCAAAATCTCCCCCAAAATGTTCCAGGATGAAGTGAGCTGAAAAAAATCCACATCATTCAGTTTTCTCACCCCAAAACTTCCCCAAAAACCCCTGGATTTTGTCTGAGGGGAACTGAGCATCCTCCATCCCTCAAAGCCAAGGCCAGGCCCCACAGGCCTCACATCCCAGAGCTCTTTCCACTCAAAATCTCCCCCAAAATGTTCCAGGATGAAGTGACCTGGAAAAAAATCCACATAATTCAATTTTCTCACCCCAAAACTTTCCCCAAAACCCTGGATTTTTGGCTGAGGAACACTGGGCATCCTCCATCCCTCAAAGCCCCACAGGCCTCACATCCCAGAGCTCTTTCCACTCAAAACTCCCCCAAAAAGTTCCAGGATGAAGTGACCTGAAGAAAATCCACATAATTCAATTTTCTCACCCCAAAACTTCCCCAAAACCCCTGGATTTTGTCTGAGGAACACTGGGCATCCTCCATCCCTCAAAGCCAAGCCCAGGCCCCACAGATCCCCACAGAGGAGCTCCATGACTCCATTTCTGTTGTTGTTCTAAACTCCAGCAATCAGCTAAAAATATTTCAGTGCCCTGGCAGCTGATTTTTTTTTTTTTTAATCCTGCTGTTTTAATAATTAATTTTTATTGTATTCCTCGAGCACTGCTGGAGTGGAAATCCCAAGAAGAAGCTCAGCTCGAGGTGGAAGGAGCCAGCTGGGACTCCCTGCTCCAGAACCTCGCAGGGGAGGGGAGGGGAGGAATTATTTCTGCTGGATTTTGACAATTTTCTGGTTTTGAGTTGTCTCCTTTTAGCCCCACCCCTCCATCTGCTTTCAGAGCTGGGATGTGAGGAGAAAAATGGATTTCACAGCTTTTTTTTTTTGATGTTTTTGCCCCAATCTGGTGTGGTTTGAATGGAATTAGTTGGCCTTGAGGGGTTTTTGGTGGAGGTGAGATTTGAGGAGCTCGATCTGCTTGTGGGGGTTTAATTGGATTCAGAAGGACAAGGATTTTCCAAAAGGCAGGAAAATAATAAAATCACCTTTTTTTAGGGCCAATGTGCAGGGAGCAGCACATTCCCACAGGGAATTGCTGAGCCTCAAGCTGATAAAAGGAGAAACAGGAGAAAAAAACCTGGGATGTTTCTGTGGGAAAACCGAAGCAAATTCCTTGGCAAATCAGCGCCCAAAACAAATAAACAGCAGCTCCCAAAAATACACAAAACACCGGGGTTTGTCCCAGCTCTTCCTTGTGAACCTGGGGCTCGGGAAAACTTCTGGAAATGCCTTTGGAGGTGGCTCAGTCTGCCCCTGGAAAATCAAAATATCTCGGGAAAACTGCCAGGAATTAGGCAGGGTTTGCTTCCTCACGCTGCTGCGTGATTTTGGGTGGGAATTCCAAGGGTTTTTTTGGAGGGAGTGGGGGCTAAATGGAGGAGGGAAGGGGAGGAGAAAAGAGGAAGGGAGGGCCTGGCACTGCCCACATGTCAGGGCAGGAACCCCTCAGGGTTTGGAGCCAAATATTTGCCTGGAAAGCAAATAAAGGCCCTGGTGAGGAAAACCCAGCCCCAGAGTCCCCATCCCTGATTTCCACCGTCCCCATCCTGCTTCTGTCCCTGCTCCATCTCTATGGGCTCTAAAATGATTTAATGTGATTTTTTTTTTCCCCCTTATTTCTCTTTCAAGTTTAATCCTGCCGCTGTCAAACTCCTTTTGTGTGCTGTTAGAAACCCTCTGGATGCCACTCAGGAGCAGCTGGAACAAGCTGCCCCTGGGATGCTCCGGGATAACGAGTCCCAAATTAGTGAATCTGTTAATTAGAGTGGGGCTGAGGGCTGAGAGCAGCCCCACATTCGGGGGTTTCACCCCACAGCAGCTTCACCTCGGCCACTGCAGCACCCAAGGGGGGTCACGCTGTCCCTCTGCTGTGCTGGGGGACAGGAAAACTTGGGCTTTTCCCAAAAAAATCAAGGAACTCACAGGAAAATTTGGGCTTTTCCCAAAAAAATCAAGGAACTCACAGGAAAACTTGAGCTTTTCCCCCAAAAAATCAAGGAACTCACAGGAAAATTTAGGCTTTTCTCAAAAAAAAAATCAAGGAACTCACAGGAAAATTTGGGCTTTTCCCCCAGAAAATAAAGGAACTCACAGGAAAACTTGGGCTTTTCCCAAAAAAAATCAAGGAACTCACATGAAAACTTGGGCCTTTCCAAAAAAAAAAATCAAGGAACTCACAGGAAAACTTGAGCCTTTCCCAAAAAAAAAATCAAGGAACTCGCAGGGAGCTGTCACATCCTGGAGGAAAAAAATCGTGAATTCGGCTTTTTCCTCCCCAAATTCCAGTGGAATTCTTGTGTTCGGTGTAAAGGGCACTGGGAATTTTGTCCAGATGGAATTGGGCATCCCCAGTCACTGCTCTCATCCCACCGCAGAATTCCCTGGGCTGTCCCAGGATTTGATGTGGGAGCCATGGATGCAGAGATGAAGAATATCGGGAGTAGGACACCAAAAACCTTTCCAGGTTTAAATTCACATCCTGCAGAAAAAAAAAAAAAAAATAAAATTGTGTATTCAGCGTTTTCCTCCCCAAATCGTGCTGGCAGCCTTGAATTGGGTTAAAAACCTGGTGAAAACAGGGTTAAAAATTCCCAGCTGATCTCCTGGAGCCACTGGGATCCAGGCTTGGCCCCGCGGGCAGGAAAAGCAGGGAATTGTGCTGAATGTGCCCAAATTCCCGGGACTGCAGGAGAAAACCCCAAACCAGGGCGGGTTCTGAGCTCTAATGACAGGGCGGCAGGAATTCAGCCTGGAATGGGA